GTGAACAATTGAAAAAGTGCAGTTGAACATTAAAACTTTGAAACTTGTATTAAGCCTAAAATGTAATTTGACCAATTCATGTGAGAAATGTCACGGCATTTTAATAAATGATACAAATCTATAGCAAAGTATTCACTTGAATAAAAAATATGAACTAGAAAGAAAATTGTAATTTTTTTTAAATAAAATATTAAATTAATTAAAAACATAATATTCAATTTATGTTTTTTACAAATATTTTTATAGTTAACAGTATGTGAATATATACAATAAAATATATTTTTCTGAATTATTGGTCTGCTTTCATAACTAAATTATAATTCTCATTTCATTCCATTTGTCCTGCCATGTCTCAATGAAAATGTGGTCAGTTTAGTCAAAGACTTCTTGTAACAGAAGAGACATGTATAAATTCTCAAAGTTGTATCAGAAAATACTTTTAATTTTTAAAGAGCAAAGCTCTTCTAGAATCAGTTTGTTATTACTAATTATCCAAGTGAAATTGTGATCTTGCATCTGTGTGTCTTAATTAAAGTAGAGAACTGTTAAGTATTTTAGCAAAACGGTTTTCTATTTCTTTCATGTAATTTCTGGTCTTGTTAGCTATAAATTGAAATCTGGCATTTTGTGAAATTTGAGCAATGCATAAAGGTTGGAGAATCTATTGTAAAATATACTGGTGGTTATTTTAAGTCTTCAATGAATTGCAGTGAAACGTCTTTGCAGAATATTCGCCATAGTTACTGCGGCAAGCAGCATGGAGTTCTTCTATAATCAGATTATGGTAGAAAACCTTTTAAATAATACTAAAGTTGTTACTGGCTTTGCCAATTTTCGTAATGGTAAAAAAATTCTTCAATATTTTAACTTTCTTGTCTAAATCTCATTTATTATGTGTTCTTTGGTATGCTTTTTGAAGTCATGGAGCATTGCTTCTTTCTATTCTAGATAAGTTGTAGTAGGTAAGTTAGTTTTGTAGCTGGAGAAGACTATGGAACTTTCTAGATTTTTTCCAAATTATTGGATGCTGAATTTTTTGCTTACTTTAAAAGTGGGTTGAAATTTGGTGCCAAGATTCATTAATTGTCTGAAATTTCTATCTTCTATAATTTGTAAATTTCCTGTAATAATATGTTGGTGATGTTGATTTACATAAGGGCTGTGTATTCTGGGAGTTTGCGGTTGCAGGTATCTGGAGCATCTTCAATCTCATGGTGGTTAATTATTAAGCTATCTAGTGATCTTTCATATTGATAGCTTGGTATTGTCTGTGTTTTTGTGTTTTGTCAGGAAACAGATGCTGGTGTAGTTTAAAGATCATATTAATTTTTAATCGGTCATAAATGGGATGCTTGAAGTGCAGAAATGTATATTTTCAAAAGATTTGTTGCTATGTATTTGTTGCTATTTGTTTGTATTTACAAAAGTCTATTATAATGTCTTTTAATAATTGGAGGCCTTCATACTTAAATTGAAAGTGGTATAGCAATTGCTTAAGGATTAAGTGTTACAAGGTATGGAGTAAATTGATAATGCTTTTGGTGAAAAATTGTGTTTGAAAAAAATTATTAAATTTTGGGTACTATTCGGTTTTGAGGGCCGTAAAAAAATTGCACCGAAAATGTACGCGCAAAAACGCCAAATCTAGCAAACGTGCCCATTTAACAGCGTGCCAAATCTAGCGTACATGATGATTTCAGATTGCGTAAGTTTATATAGTTCTATATTTCTTAAGACGCCATTGAATACTACTTTAATTTTTAAATTCGTTTTTGATATCCTATGGATTTAACAATTTGGGAATTACCCATGACGAAAACTCGGCAATATAATTTTGGGTAAAGTGCAGAATCGCCCACTGCTTGACACATTTTTAAGAATTGCACATACTTGGTATCCATGTGCACATTGACATATTTTCACTTCAAAAGAATCCTAGAATTGCACAAAAATGGCACTGCGCACACCCTTGACTTTATCTATGTACACATTGACCTATTTTCACTTAAAAAGTAAAAGAAAATTGACAAAAATCCAATTGTTTTTACCCTTGTAAAAAGCGGCAAATAAATAAGTGAGCGATTCTGCACTTTACCGAGAATATTTTCAAAGAAAAGGTATCAGTCATTATAGAAAATTACGTTTGAGCAACCAACAAGATGAAATTATGCTTTAGCGATAAGTCGGTAGCGAAATAGCGATGCAGGCATCCATTCAGTTATGTTTAGCAATTTTTATATAAACTATAATAATGATCTGAAATAGTTATTTACTCTTATGCTTCCATTCAGTCATGTTTAGCCTTTTTCATATAAATTATAATAATAAAAAAGTATTATATGAAATTAACCTTTCATCTAAATTAAAACATCAATCTTAAATAGTTATTTACTATTTTACGTCCTTTCTTGCCGCAATTATTAGGGTTGCCGCAATCATTTTTGACAGCATTGGCATCAACAATAGTTTGGCGATTTTTTTATGGCCCTTGAAACTGAATAGTACCAAATTTTGTAATAAAATTTAAGCAAGAAAATGTGTTTTAATTCTATCTCCTGCTCTTGTGCCTCTTACTGTTTTTGTACAAAATCTTCCAAATTGATTATAAGCTGTCAATAAACTAAATTTATCTCTTAAATTATTCTATAGATAAGAATTAAGTCCATAAGGATATAGTGTTTTATTTTGTAATATGCAAATGGATTCCTCAAAAAGTCTTATTTTGGTGTTGGGGAAAAATATCCAAATTAAAAATACTTATTTGTTCAAAATCGTGCAGTTGAAAATGTTCAAGAATAGCAGTATTGTAATCATCATCTTTCTTTTGCTTATGAGGCAGAATTTCTACTTCCTTATATCAAATCAAGGAAATTGACCTGGATTATATAAGTATGACCGAAGTAAAGGAAACTGACTGTAGACCAAAATTTCAGATATCATATTTCAATGAAAATATCAATTTTGACTTTTCCTGAATCCATTTGTATGATTTTCTTGTGTGGCATCTGTATGTGCGCACAGAATAAATGACTCTTTTATTTCAAAAGGGATTTTTTTTTTTTTTTTTTGTGATGTCTGTACAACAAAAATTGACCATGATATTTAATTTCAAAACATGCAATTTTTTATGTCACTTTCAACTTGCCTTGAGGGATTAGTTAATTAAGTTAGAATAATTTGAGGAAATAAGTTTAAATGAAGTGCAGTAAAAAGTTTATATAATTAATTTAATAAGCCACACAAGTGAGTCATGTGATATCCACATCAGATTTGTTTTGTATCAAGTTACATTATACTTCTACAATATCAAATAATTCATGCAACCTGGCAAACCAGCAATTCTGAAAGATTTGCTATCCCACATTTTGCCAACTCTTTCGTTTTTCATCACATCTCCTAGTCTCAAAGTCAGTCTTCTTTTCTTGCATTTTTTTTTTTAAGACTTTGCTTAGGAAAATGCTATCTTGCAATAAATGAAATTTATTAAATTAATGAAACTTAAATTGTGGAAATTCCATTCCCCTAACCCATTTCTTCAGCATATTTTTTCTTGCTAAATTTTATTTGATCTGAACTTATTTGATATAATATATTGTAGACATGCTTAGATTTTTTTTTTTTTTTTTTTTTTTTTATTCAACCAATGTTTTGTCAGTTAATATTTATTTGTGTTTCATTTTTTCCCTTACCATTATGATGGCACATTACTAAATTTATTCTTACAATAGTATGGACATTAATTATTAATTTTCTTTCCATCATGTTTACCAAATGTACTTTGATAAATAAAAAGATTTTGTCCTTCAAAATTTTCTCAATATAAAAGTGTAGCAAAAATTACAAAATAAAACTAGCCAAAGGACATAAAATTTAAAATGTCTGATTAAATAGTAATATATTTTATATCAAAATCATTTAAATCATATCAAAATCATTCAATAACTGTAATCATGCATGATAAAATGAATTTTAAATTCTTTTGAAATGGTGTTGCTACATAGCCTAAAACCTCTTAGAAACTTCTGGTTTCTTGCATGAAAAGCTGTCGGTTTTCTATATTTCAATGTTGGCAGCTATGCTTCTCCATGTATCATAATATTACAATCAATAATCATTTACATGGCTGGGCAAATGTCTAATTCTGAAATTTGTTGCCATTCCGTGCAGCATGAGAACTTCCATTTATCTTTCATTATTATTAACACTGCTTTATTTTAGACTGTTTAAAAAACAGTACATTTGCTGCTCAATAATATATGCCCTTATTTAATGTTTATCTTTAAATTTATAATAATATACTGCTTTCATTATAAAAAATGAAATATTTGAAATCAAGTTTCAAAATGTTAACTTAATTTAATCATTTACATATATTTCTTATAGTATTTTATAATTAGTTTTTAATTTTTATAACATTTGCACCTTCAGTGTAATAATGAAAGATTTTTTTTAATACTGTATGTTTATCTTTAATTTATATAATGTATTGCTTTCATATAAAAATGAAATATTTGAAATCAAGTTTCAAAATGTTAATTTAATCATTTACAGATATTTCCTATAATATTTTATAATTAGTTAATAATTTTTATAACATTTGCACCTTCAGTGTAATTAATGAAAGATTTTTTTTAATACCGTATGTTAAGAACCTTCATTACAGGATGTTTTTGTGTTTACTAATATCATGACATTGTGATTATCATGACTTTGTGATGTGCAATGTTTTTGTGAGAGTAACTCCATGGAAGAATTGTTTAATTCTGAAATGTTTATGATTTTTATAGCTTACTTTTATGTTAAACTTAATAACTCACAATATCAGTTACGAAGTTGCATTTGGCATATTTATAAAAGTTTCATTTGATAATGTACTCAGAGACGTATTATATTTTGACATTATACTTTGATTAGTATCTATGTATTATGATCAGTTTAATTACCAAATTTTCTGTTCCATAAAAAAAAAAAAAAAATTACATAAATTATTTATGTTTCAGGTTTCTATTTTGAGCCCTTCCGCATCAAAAAAATCCAAATCCTCAAAGAAAAAATTATTCAAACAGTCCCATGATTCCCAAGAAGTAAATCATCCTGTGAAGATATATAAAACTTCTCTGCCATCTGATGATTTAAATGAGCCTATGTTAGTAACATAAGTGTCATATATATACATATATATACTTTTATCTTTAAAATTTGAAATAATTACTATAATAGTGTATTTCTGATGTAGAATTGTTAATTGCAGATATTCAGATATTCATATTTCAAGTGATTCATTCAATTTGCCATCAACTTCTACGTACAAAAAATTTCAAGAATTTGAAGAATCAAGTATTCGAACTAAATCATCATCTGTATCAAAGAAATCAACTAGTACCGCTGTAAACGATCCAGGCCTTCATGAAAAATCAGTCATTAGCGTTAAAAGCGAACCAGTGTATGCCACTGTTGACAAAAGGGTAATGTAATTTTTTTTCATATTTTGACTGTTATGAATATTGAAATTTTTCCAAAGTCATGACAATTTGAAAATTGAAAATAGTTCCAAAATTCAGTGAATAGCTTTTTAACATTAAATCTAAACTGAAAATAAACTGTGTAAGAAACTGAAAATAGTCTTGGCCCCTTATATATGTGTGTGTGTGTAGGAATGGGTATGTGTCTATTTTTCCTTCTATGCACTACACCTTATTCTGTTTTTTGCATGAATTTGATTAAACATGAATTTAAAATAAGTATTTCATTCTCTTTTTACATGTGTTATTTAGATGTAACATGAACAGGTCAAGCCAGTTTCTATGAAATTTTTTTTTTGGTTAAATTCTAAGAAAAACCTTTTTTATTTGTGGTACAATACACACACATGAATGATGTGAATCACACACGCACACACAAATGTTTTGTCCTAGAAGTTAGATGTTAAATGAATGTGAAAGGTTTCAAACTTATAGCTCTTCTGATCCTTGACAATACATCAGGCCTTCTTGTCTTGGGGCACTCAGATGTACAAATTTTATTTCTGTCACCTAATATTACGTCTTTAGGTCCAGCGCACTGTTCTGATATCCATAGGCTGAATGATGGACGTACAGTTTGGAGGGAAAAATAACACGGATACATTATTGTTCATAAAAACTTCATAAAAAAGTGAAATATTAGCCGATTGCTTATCTACAATCAGGACAATTTTTGCGTCATTGCGTAAACCAAAGGAATTCAAATTTTGCCAAGCCTTGGGTATGAAATGATTTTCAAACTAATCATACATTAACGCTTGTGTCATCCATGCTGTTTTATATGCACAATATATAACAGGAAAATCATTACTCCTTTAAATGCTTTTATTTTTCCAATTACAAAAAGTTTATGCTTGTGCATTCATGCAACATTTGCACATGCTAAAATTGTCGGTCTTGCTTTCGAATCTTTGGCATAAGTGCAGTTTTTTCTGTAGAGGTTTCCAAGGTATTTCGTGGTACAGGAAAGACCAGTTTCATCAGTATAATAAATTTGCTCTTAAGCTAACTTTCCACTATTAATGAATTTAATAGTGGAAATTCATCTGCAAATACTTCAGCAGCTTCAGTATTAGCTGAAGCTTTTTCACTTGAAAGTTTTAATTGTTTATACCTTAATGATTTTTAAATTTGGTTAAACAACCTGTCGAATATGAGTTCTCAGGTTTTAAGATCATTTCTTCATTTAATATTTTGACTTGATCCATTAGCATTAGACCCATCAATGGCACACCTCTCGCTGAACACTGTCTGACCCATTCAACCACACTTTGTCACGATTGTCAATTTTAGCATAGCAAATAGTTTTTCTGTTATTCATTGTAAATGGTGTGTCAAAATTCACAAAAAATTCATAAAGTTCCTTTTTCTGTTATGTCATATACAGTTGACTTTCTATTGCCATACTCCTCGCATAATTTTGAGACGAATATACCTATATCCATTTTTTGCAGCAGTTTCACTTTTTGTTTAATGGACATTGAAACATGTTTTCACTTTGTAAATCCTGTTGCAGTTCCAACTTTGTAAATCCCGTTGTAGTTCCAGAACTAGAAACTCTTTTCGACATAATCAAAAGTTCAAACTTTAGTTTTCATAAAATTGCTGTAATTACAATATCCAGCAAAAATTAATAAGCTAGCTCAAATCAGAAAGTTAAGGAACAGTGCAATGTGATGTATCGACTGAAATTGTTTGCCATCAGGAAAGTATAATTTTACTTTAGCTTTTAAGAGCATCTGCTTTACATTTTTGGCTATGTAGCATGGGACTGGCGACGAAAGACACAATGTCCCATTAAATTTTGTCTTGCTTTTATCGCGTATTGAGACAATTAAGCCTGAATTTTATTAATTTAAGTATTTATTATACTTACGTTTAATTCTTGCACATGCTTGAGGCTCATCTGATTCTTGAATAAATAAATTCCCACATAAGCATATTGAGGGACAGTGCTACATATTTTGTCGCTTGATGCAGTCTGGTGCTAAATTTTGCTACCAAGCACCATCCTAATCTCTAAATTTTTGCCTCTGCTTAATTTTGGGTGCCAGTGCTTTTGCAGAATTCTAAAAATGTTATCAACCCTTAATTTTTGTTACTCAGTGCTTCTCTTAATGCCAGAAATTTTGTCTTCCCTAAATTTTGCCACCCGGTGCGGCCATACGAGCTCTGGGCTGATTCTGGGTTTATGTGAATAAAAATTCAGTTATTCTTAATTCAAATAATGCTAAATGTAATCTTTTGGCTTATGAGCATCATTAACATAATGCATTTTTAGCATATGGAAAGAAATTTTTGTTAAATTTTTCCTTGTCAACATTTAGCGGATTTAACTTAAATCTGTAATCACCGCCAATTGTAATGTCAACATAAAAGATTTCCATACTCTTTGTTATTCAAATACTAATATAAAAAAATTGTTTCGGCATTGCTGCATGAGTCATTACTCAAGTTACCATGTGTTGATAAACATGTGGTGATGAAAGCAAAACATAATAAATAATAATTCGCCAGGTTGGCGTCAGAGATATAAAATGTTAGTAGTGTAAAATCAAAGATGTTTCTATGTAGAATGTCTCGGTTTGAGATGTATATATATATGAGATATGAAGCCAAATTATTGATCACACAAATTTATGCTATAACGATTGTTTCTTCAATAATGAGGTATTTTATTTAGTTTTGAAGTGAAATTAAGAATATGGATTCTCCGCATATTTTCTTACGGGGGGGAAAAATTAAATGTGCATGCGTAAAGCATTAAAAAAATTCTTGTTGGTGGCTTTAAGGTCCGTATTTTAGATCATTCCTGGTATTGGCCGTCTGCATCTCGGACTTTGCACAGTATTATGTTGTTGACCATATAACTGTCAACAAACAGGGCAGTTTGTGACAATTATTGATAAGCGTGATGTCGCAACACACGGATAATGTCTGCACTTTATTTGATGCAATCTCGATAAGCGACTTTTTTGCTTTTTATGAACAAGGATATAAATTAACCACTATTGCTGTGTTTTCTCTTTGCATTTTTATTTAAAAAAATTGAGTGTGGTAGAATCATATCTGTGACTGAATTCATGTTCATTCTGAATTCAGTTTGGTGGATTTTTCAGTGAGACAGATGATATTTTTTCAGGGGTAAGAACTGTGAATAGAATGCGGCACACACTTCCACATGAAAAATTAAGGCAACTTTGGCTGGATCTCTGCCAACTTTCATAGTTCAAAGGAGGTAACTTTCATGGTCGACAGGATAATACTTAAGAACCATTATGTTTGATTTCTTTATTGCATTAAAAAAATGGCTACTTGCATATTAATACAACCACCCGAGGAGAAAACACCAATGTTTCAGAATATGTGAAACTGTGGTATCTGTTAAAGCTTACAAGAAAAAGAATCACCGACCTTTTTCAGCTTTCAGTACTTAAAATCATAAATCACTCTTCTGCATGAAGTAGCCTTTAATTAAGGACTCGCATAATAGATTTAAAAATAGTCTTTATCATTAAAACACTATAACTGTGTTGATTATTTACTCAATAGAATCAGTTTCAACGAAAACAAACTTTATTATCACGAAAGAAATCAATGACGCTCCTCACGTTGTTACATCTTTCTCAAACTTAAATATCTCGTATTGTTGCCATACACAAATTGTTAAATTATACTAACAAAATAAGTAAGGCATTATTAACAGTATCGACGTGCATAACAACTATACAGCCAACCAAAATACTCAGTTTCCAACATTGTCATTTTTTATATGTTCTTTTTGCTTTACCCCAAGTTTCAATGGCTTATAGAAAAATTATGATTAGTTTTTGTCTTGTAGTTGATTTAAAAATTTTTGCTTGTAGGATTTGCCTAAAGCAGAAGAAACAGAAGTGAAATTTCTGCAGGAGTGGTCTTGCAACAAAGTCACTAAATAAGCAATGCTTTGAATTCTTTTTCAAAGTGATCGCTATGAAATTTCCACCGCAACAAAAGCAAAAATGTGTTTGTAACTAGTTGCTGATTGTTTTTTGGAAACAAAAATATGTTAATGTATGATTTTTTACAACAAAAGTCCTTTTTCCTTTGGAAAATTCACTAACCTGCAATAATGTATAATACCAATGGGTGAATGCCTTGTGTTACGTACCAAAATAGTAGCCTGTATCATGTTCATAAAAAAGTAAGTAAAATTTTTTGTTAAGCTTATGTTAATCAATATTGAGTAAAAATGGTCTCACGGTGCCCCTTGGTGAAAACTGGCGATTGTCCAGCAAAGGCACAATTTCAAGATGGCCACTACACGAAACCAAAATAACAAGTCAAAGAATTGCAGAAACTCGGTGTCCATGTACACATCGATCTATTTTCACTTAAAAACATCAGAGAATTGCATAAAGTTGGCATTGCTCACTTCCTTGACTTTGCCCTATTTTTCTATTGCACATCGATCTATTTTTCATTTTAAAAAAAATCTGATGTGTACACCACATGACTTCCTTGTACGGAATATTAAATTATACGCATTTTTTTCTTGAATTTCGTTTAAATTGATTGGATTGAATAAAATCTACTTCGTCAACAGCACATAAACCACAATAGAATAAATGCACTCTTTAAAATTCACTATATTTGTTTATTATAACAAGACTCTGAATGCACAAAATTTTATATCATTTGAAGAATTATCTTATCATTGCCACATGTTCTATTCAAATACAGTAAGACCCTGCTTAACGCGGGGGATACGTTTTATCGAAGTAGAGCGTAATGCGAAACAGCGCTAAACGAGGCTATCTTAACATGTAAATAATGGGGTTAGGGGAAGACGGATAAAAAATGGTTAGGCATTAAATTTAATAATGTTTTTTCTAATTCAGTCTATTCTGGGTTTCCAATTTTCTGCCTTTTTGTTAAGAAGGCATTATGATAGATTGGCTTAATGGCATATTGCGTTCAATTTCGTCGTCAATCCATATAGACAGTCGTTTTTCCATTTCCTCTATAATGTTATTTCTAGAACGGGTAATTCTAGTTGCAGAGCTTGACGTAGTTGCAGTTGCCGATGATAGTATTTTTTCTTTATTCTTAAGAATTGTCCTTATTGTTGAAATTGCCAAAATCAATGCAGCACTAATTTGAGATTGACGTTCACCAGAATCTAATCTTCTAATCACTTGCATTTGAGTTTCCAGTGAAATGCTTTTTGGTTGCTTTCTTTTCTGTTTTTTATTGTCACCCATGATAAAAACTAAAGATCATAATATTTGTCACTGTATTAATCGTTATATTATAAATTAACTTACAATAATGTCAACAAATGTTTCAAATGATAAAAATGCGTCCACCAAGCAAGAAACACAACTACACTGTTTCGGATATGTTATTTGGAAACCTAGCGCTGCGCACAATTTTGGAGAATCCCCGGGTTGAAATAAAAGAGCGCTAAACCGAAACAGCGCTAAACGAAACAGCGTTAAGTGGGGTCTTACTGTACTATAATAAAGCTAGAACGATGTATGAAAGAAATTAAGCAAACAAAACAGAAAAGAAACAGTTTTTCACAGACAATTTAGTATTTCTCATTCAATTAATTCAGTTCTCACTTCACGACAAGGCAAAAATGCATAAAAACTCAAAACATCTGTATTAAAAATTATGAAGTAAATCTTAAACACTTATTTCGTTGAAAAAATTCCAGCAAGGATTAAGCATGATTTAATTTGCAATAATAAATGAAGGCGTTATTTTTGTTGTTGCGAAGCTTACTGTCTCCAGATTGGCAACAAATCTACAATTCTGCTGTTTCAAATGTAAACAAATATGTCCGCCATGTTATTTAAAGCTTAACCGCACTTAAACAGCTTTTAAATTGTTGATAATTGTACAAATAGAATTATTCCAGAATTATGAAAGGCATAAAAACCGTAACCGGAAGATAAGAACAACATAATTCAATCATTTTTAAAGCAAAAAATGTACAATTTACAAACATATAAGAGTAAAGAAACTGAAATCACTGTGCCAAGTAATAGGGATATATATATAAATATAGTATTTATATACGTTTGGTGCGGCCGATTGCAAAAAAAAATGTAAGGTGCACATCTACATGTTATAGCAGTGATATATACAAAATTTCAATGTTCTGAGGTTACTCGTTTTCGAGTTATGCGAGATACGCACGTGCGTACGCGTACGTACGTTCGCACAGATGCCACGAAAAATTCTCTTCAGAATTCATTTTAAAGCAGTTTTATAATTTTTTTTGAGGAAACAAGTCTTTTATTCTGTCCTTACGTACAGATATCACGCAAAAACATCGTTAAATTGCATTCGATAGCGGTCAAAACGGATATTTTCTTTGAAATATGCTGCCTGAAACTTTTCGCGATTACAATACTTCCTTTTTACTTCGTAAAAGGAAGTAAAAACAGGAGAATGATAAGGTCATATAATGTTAAAATAAAGTTACTCATCACCAAAATTAAACAAAATTTGTAGCCAATCAAAGCTCAATAAAGTGCATTTTAAATCACATGATGAAATAACATAAAAAAGGGAATGCATGTTATTGCATATACATACTACAAAAAGGAAATATCAACTTACCATATTTAGAAATTTTTGTGTCTTCAGTCTGTGGCACACAAAATTCCTTAACAGCATCCAAAAACTTTCTAAAATTATCTGAACTAGAATATGTACCACATAAATTCACAAAAATAAGAGTAAAAAATACCCTCCGTAGTGCCGGACTGTCGATGGCATTTCTTGTGATAAACCCATTCAAAGCTATCTGAACTATCTCTGTGTTTAACCATACACATTTTGTTCATACAAACAGGACATTTATAATGGCTATTAAGTAAACCTTCATTTACAACCAGTCAATTAATGTTTTCCCCCCTGTCGTTCCTAATCCTACAGAAACTTCAGATTAATCTCATCACATACAGCCATTTTACAATGTATAGCACAAAATGAGCAATGTACTTTCTGACTGATATCCAATGCAGAAATAAGCCCTTACAAATATTTTCCCATCAGTCAAATTCACTGCAATCACGCAAACAATCACGTCATAATAGGGTTTCCATAATATTCAACTACTCAGGTTACCATTAATGAAACAACAATTGGGCAATAAATGATACAACAACTTGGCAATAATCCAAGGGACACCTTAAAATATAGACTAACCCAGTATTCATTTGCAGATGAAAAGGCAGTTATTTTGACTATTCTTCTTTGTCTTTTCTCCAAAGGAAAAAGGACTTGTATTATTAATATTGAAAACTTTATGTGGTATTATTTTAAGTTTTGAAATAAATAGTATGATAAAAATTTTATTTGATTATTAGCAAAAGGGTTCAGATGATCAATCAACAAATTCTGAAATGCATAAATCTCAAATTGCTGAGTATTCAGAAGGAGGTGAAAAAACTGCATTGAAAGAAATAAGTAACCATTACAAGGGTTCAAGCTGTATATCTCATAGCTTAACATTACCGAAAGTAGGAGAAAGTGAAACAGATGTTAGTATCTTAAGTAACATATCTCATTTTTTTGTTTATATATGGTATTTTTATTTAATTATTTCTCCTGTTATATTTTTATATATTTTACAGTACTAATATTACTGTTCAAAATGTGTAGAAATTAGAGTTAAAAGTAGAGTAATTTATAATTTTTTTGTAATGAAATGTAATAGTATGTAGATACATTTTATATAATATGTTGCAACCATTTTTCTGTGGTGTACTTATCAGTGGATAAGTATTCCATACCAAATTTCAGAGGGGCAGAATTTCTTTATCTTAAGGTTAATAAAATTCTTAACTCTAGAATATAGGTAGTGTAAATGATAAAGTGTTCCTTTTCAAATACCAGTTGATTGGATGTGGAAGTGCAACTTCTGTATCCCATCTTTTAAGGTTTCACATTCAAAATCTTTCTTTTGGTACAGGTAAATTATATTCATAGAGAAATGTAAAAGAAGTTCAGGAAATGCTTTTTGGCATTAACTATGTGTTAAGAGTCTTTGAATAGAAAGGAGTTGGTAATTGTAAGCTGAAGAGAAAAAAAAAAAAAAAAAAAAAAAAAGGGGAAAGCATTAGTCATGAACTGGCAGATTGACTAAACAGACAAAAGCATTTTAAAAATATTTTCTGTGCTTATGTTGTAACATGCTGAAAATGTCTAACTTAAGCCTAAAATTGAAGAATACATTTTTAAACGATTGTGATGTTCTTGGTAACTGCAGCCAGATAAAAACTGCTTTTAAGCTGGGAATTTCCCAGAAGAACTGGTTAAAGATGTTTTACTTGGGTTGCTAAATGAATGCAAGCCGCACAAAATTTATAATACAGATGAAACTAGACTGTATTACACAACATTAAAAGTGAAAAGCAGTAGTTTAAGAAACTGAAGGAATAAGTGTTATTAATGTGCAGTATGAACCCAACAATTAAAAAAACAGCATTGGTTCCTGACAAAAGCAGAAATATTGATTACTGAAAAGAGTCAAGAATTCGCACACACATCTCTGGTGTCTTTCTGAAAAATGCTAGTATCTTCTCTTGTAAATGCAGCTTCTAATATTCATATAATTTTAGGGAAGTATAGAAACTTTTAAATGTTATTACAGAAAAGATGTTTACAAAATGATCTAGTCAAAAGTAGTTGCTTGCAATGAAATTAAATATACGACTGGGAATCTGTTGTTGAATGATATGAAATAAACAAGTTAGAATAGTTGTTTATAAGTAGAATTTTATCAAGAATATAGTTATAAAAATATTTTTAATCAAAATTTTAAAATATATTTCAAAATTGCATAAATAGTTTAATTTTAGCATTTTTGTTTAATTATCATTTTAAAATTAATTACTGAATTAGTTATTAGCTATTATTTTATTTGAAAGGTTTAAAAATGATGTCACAGTTTGCAGTACACAAATTGCCGTCTATTAAATTCAGACACTTGAATATGTTTGGAACAAAAGTGATTTTAATAAGTGGTACTATTTACTGTACATATTAGTAGCAACATTTTGAATTATAATCAAGAAAAAACATCTTTTGCATGAATATTTAAGAAACTGACAGTTTTTAAGTGCAAATTCTGTAACATCGGGGGATTAACCAGCCAACCATTTTCTTTTATATAGCATTCTTTGTATTAATCATATTATATTTTATAGAGTTTATCATACATCGTGGTGCGCAATGAACTGGAAGTTGATCTGTCAGCACTATCCTTATCTTCAGGGCAGATGTTTTTATTTTATTCGGCTTATAATTCTTTACTAAATGTAGTATTTCATCTCGATGTACTCCGTCTTTGATATGATTAAATCAAATTCTCTTCGTCATTATAAATATCACGAATACACATCAAATAGTTTTCTGGTTGCAATTTCTAATTTCGACTATGCGGAATGTATGCTTTACACATGCGCGCGTTGAAAGAAATTTTTAATAAAGTAAACAAATAAATATTAAGCTTTTTTTTTGTAAAATTTGATACCCTTTCGATCATAATTGCTCTTTATTTCATAAATTATGGTTTCATATTTTTAATTTTATAATTTCTGCATGCCATCTTACCAGATTTAAACTAATGATCTATAATCCGGAAAAACCGATAATCTGAAATCGCCGAAGTCCCGACAAGTCCGGATTAAAGACTTTTGTCTGGATTAGACATCCAGACTTGCGTACAGAGAAAAATGCTTATTTTTTAACCGTGTTGGCAGATCCATGTATAAGTCAACCCCAATAATTTAGCATTTTTCACAGTAATTGTTCTTTTTCGTCAGTAAAATTTTCCAAACTATGCCTGATGATGAGATGGTTGTAGTGAGAATGGATGCAATAATATGATTGTTGGATGGTTGCAATAATATGCAAGTACCAAAAATTGTCATATAGTTCTAGAAACTTATGAAAAAATTGTCATAAGAAACATAAAGTGAAATGATTTTTACTTGTATTTTGGGTATAATCAAGTAATTTAGAATTTTCTCATTTCTTATTAGATTGTTTAATAACTTTATAGTATTTAATGATAAATAATGGTACATATCTCATTATGAACATTAGATTTGAAAATGCATTTTAAAAATATTTTGTCAGTTGAGCTGTATAATTTTATAAATTGTGTACAATTTTATAAATTAGGAAGATGTGAAAATTTTGCAGCATAGACTAAAAGAACTTTCAGAAGATAACAGAAAACTTCAAAAACATGTACAAAATCTGATGATGGAAGAGAAATGGTAATAGAAAAGTACTTTTTTTTTTTTTTTTTTTTTTTTCAAATTTCAAAACGAGAAATATTTTAGATTATTGTGTGTCACATTTGATTTTAAATGATATCTAATAGTTCTTTTACATGCTTTGAACTTTTAATTTTGCACTCGTTTGTGGATTATGAATATATTAAAGTTAATTTTAAAGTTTTAAGTTATTTTTAAGTAGTTTAAAGTATATTAAAAATTAAATGATAATAATAGTGTTTAGGCATCTGCTTTTGTTTCATCAAATGAAAAGGAATTTTAAGATTACTATTTGCTAAAGGTATAATTCTTTAAAATTCAATTTATTTAGTAATAAGAGTATTGTTTACTGCTCTATTAAATTAATTTAATAATAAGTTTATTTTTCCTTAATACATAATTCTGTAAAATTTGCAATGGTTAATTTAAAGAATTAGTGTTTTCATTCAGTTTGTTATAATTCTTTATCTTATTACTATCCCTTCAAATTTTTCTTATTATGGTGCTATCAAAATTCTTTAAAATAGCTTGGTATTGCTTTTTATTTAAGAATAAAAAAATGCTCTTTTTATCAGAATGGGAGAAATATGCTATAATCCAGTTTTTCTTTCAGGTGATAAAATGTATTTAAAGTTAGTATAAAGAATTTTATTTTTGTCTAGAAAAGTATTAAATACATATAAACTTAATTTTAATTAAAAACTATATTATTTATATTTAATTTAACATTAAATTCATACAGGATTCATTCATACTGTATGTGCATGTGCACAGAACTTTGACATCACCAAAATTTTGTTAGATTTGACACGTTATTATGCATATACCGTTTTCCCAATTTAATTTTTTGTGTGTGTTTGCTAATGTGCTTTTTCATCTGTCTAATGATGTAATGAAATTGATTATAACATTTGTAGTTTTGAAGATATAAGCATTTGCTTGAAAGTTTCAAAGAAACGACTCAAATAGCATCTGAATTTTTCCTTTCCCCTCAGACCATTATGTAGAAACTTAATTCTACATTAAAGTTTGTATAGGGAATTAAAAGTGCTGCTAAGCATTTGGGAGTGAGAATACATTAATATTTGATATTATTTATATTATTAAAGCAAAGAATAATTAATAGTTTTCATTTGTTAACCTTTTGAAGATGGGATGGCCATTATAGTGGCCATAGAGTCCTCTGTTTGAAAAGATGAGGTTATCCACTTTACCGCTCGGCCGCTGGTGGGCCCATTTTACCAGGTTTAAAGAGTGGGGTGTAATGTCAAATTTCACATCCCTGGGGTTTTAACCACTTATCTCTTTCAAAGGTCCTTGTGTTAAGGATCCAGTTTTTCCCTTTTTGTTCTTGTAACTACATAGCTACAGAATTCGCGATCACTATGTTTGTAAATTGTAAACAGAGCCTTGCGCTGCTTTAGAATATTGCATAATTTTCGTAAACTTTCTAGGAATTATTTTGACATTTTTCTAGCAATGTGGCGAAAAGGAAAAGAGGGCTGACTGAAGAAGAAACATGAAAACTTCTTCAAGAGTTTGATGATGAAATATATACACATACATATATCTGTATGTTTAAATATATGTATGCATAAATCCACATGCAAACACACATATATAAATGCATATGTATGCCTGTGTGTGTACATATACGTGTCATGTATATATGTTATTCTCATTTAAGGGTACGCATGCTTTCTGCTTTATGTGCATATCTGCACTTATACCATATTATTTCAGTGCAGACATATATACTACATGGATATGTAGGTATACATTTCCATAAACAAATATAAATTCTCATGTACTTGTATACATGTACAAGCACTTTTTCTTACATTCTTATCAGTTCATTCTTAATAGTTCTGTCTGTCTTTATTTCCATATATATCTGTTTATGCTGAAGTGACCTTCACACACAGAAGTTTACTATGATGGTACTGTTATTGAGACAAATCACAAGAACATAAATATAAATTTTGTGTTAAAAAAACAACAAATAGTCTTTATAATTTCAGTCTGAAACCTGGAAATTGTAAATATATTAAAGCTAGTCAAATCAGTTTAAAAGCTTTTGCCTTTGTAGAAGAGAGGAATTTCTTCATTGTGTTTCTCCCTGGGGCTCATCTCTAGCCATAAATTCCAGATGTACTGATGGCATATTTTAAAAGTACCTCTGTATCAGTGTCTCAATTTCATGGTCAAATAATTTTGAAGTAAGATGCACAGAATGGATTAGAGTAGCATTTGTGAAATGTCACTGTTCCTTTGAGCTCCAAGAATACAAACAGGATGTAAAAACTCTCAAATAATGTACAAATCATTGTTCTAAGACAACACATGTTCTCCATCTGAATTTCTGAACCTTGACCTTTTAAGTGATTGAATGCCTTTGTCATTCATTAGACATATATCTCAGCAACTACGTTCAAGGACAAATTCCTGGGGGCATACCTTGGGCACTCAGTTATGAAATAGTTTCGATACACAGCATAATGACTGAGGTGTTAATGAAACCAATGAATAACTGCCAAATTTTCATTGAAAAAGAGAAAAACAGTTAATTCAACTGTGTCACTATAGATTTCGCATGACCTGACAACAGTGGCGTAGCTAGGGTTGGGCAAAAAGGGACATCTGTCCCCGGGTGCAGCATCCAAGGGGTGCCAAATTGATGCTAAGAATCTTCATCAATTTGCCATCCAAGGGGCGCCAAATTGATGAAGATTTTTTGAGTAACTGCAAGTAAAGATAATATATCATAGAATAATATATATAAGTTAATATATCATAGAATTTAAATTCCACCATATAAAATACGCCGCCATGATTGATATCAAAGCTGCAACAATAGTGTGGAGTTGAAACTAACTGGTTTAAACAATAGAGGAAATAGAAAAATTCACGTGGGACGACGATTTCAAACAGGAGAGAATTTAGTTGACTGGGCACCTGAAATTATCTGGAAATTTCTCTTAATGTGCTAAATTATGTAGCATAATATAGAATAACATAATACACTATTGAAGACAACAATTAATTATCATGTAACTTTTGTCCCACAGTTTTTGTAGACACAATGCATGACAAACAATTTTCCCTTCAATTTGAAAAATTCTTTGCCGTAAGAAATTACCTAAATTTTGATACGAGTGAACACGTTCCCTTAGTGAGGCTGGGAATTTAGTTTTAGACAAATAAAAAAAAAAAAAAAAAGACAAATGGAATTTACGTTTTGAATTATGGGTTTGCATACTAAATGATTTGACATTTTTAATGACTTAAATCATTTTATGTTAATACTTGAATGTATCACTTACTAATTTGAATAAACAGTATAAAACAGTACATGATTAAAAAATTTTTTTTTTTTTTTTTTTTTTTTTTTTTTTTTTTTTTCAAATTTTTAAAACTAAAATATTCTAAAAAACAGTTTTTAGTTTTTCTGTGTCTGTTTGGCCCAGAAGGGCTATTATTTGTTTTGGCACTTTGCTTCAATCACTAAACGGCATATCACTTTTCAAATTGTTGCCATCAACGTTAGAGCACTGCATTATATTTAAAAGAAATTAAATAATGAAGAATCTGCATAAATGTAGATGTTTATTGCATTTTAATAACAGTGGTACCTAAGCTATCAATTTTTGAATAAATAATCCCGAATTGGGCATCTGGAAGCCCTAATTTGGAATTGTTTTTTATTTACTACCGCAACGCCCGCCTTCGTTGTCTTTTAAATGTATCGCAAAATGCCTGAAGGAACACCAAACTTAATTTAAAACTGGACAGTTTTAATCTGCAAAACTTTATAAAAAAAAAATATAAAAAACATTCATAAAAAAATACAACTCCGAAAAATTTATATCTTACAAACAGTGAAATAAGCAATAACATGAAAAACTCAAACAAAATTCCGCAGAATTTTACTCTCAGAACAACTTTATCAAAAAATCAAAATATTATAATATATATATATATGACAATGAAATATGCCATTTCTTAAAAACAGTGACATAAGAAATACGATGAAAATTTGTTGCCAAACCCATTTCTAAAAGAATGAAACTATTCAAAATGATGCGATTTCATCAAAAATCTATCAACAACAACAATAAGACAGGAAAATTGTTTCCAAAATCACATTTTTAAAGATGTGAGATGTAAGTGTACTCGGAAGCTTCATTTAAACATATTTTTAAAAGTACAAAATATTATCAGTTTTCCAAAATTACTTTTGTAAAAGCAGTCGCAAGGATGAAAGTTTAACGTGTCCAAAAATCAAAGAAAAATAAACTTTTTTAGAAAATATCCCTTTGAAAATGTGTTAAGCTCCATTTGTTAAATAAAATCGTATTTAATCGATTTATTGAAACAAGAAATATATTTTAAAATCGTAAAATATCTAAGTGCTTACGTTTCATGACGATTTGAAAATGGAGTGTGTAGAGTAAAATCTCGCTTTCCTATAGGCCATTATGTCTCAAAACGACGCGATTTCGTCACAAAACATAAAATTAAAAAAAAATTCGAATTAGAATTTCGAAACAATCGCTTCGAGGTGCACTGGCCCTTGTCTAGATACACCTATGTAGCAAATTTTGTAGCCGTGTGTCTATTAGCTTACGCGCAGTGCAAAGGAAAGAAACACACAGAACACACAGACAGACTCTTTCTTTTATTATATGTAGAGATAACTTCTAAGAATTTTGTTAAAACAAAATTTCAAAGAAAATCCTTGGGGTATGCGGTAACACAAAACTGCCATTATAAGAATTTATTGAATATCTTCTATAATAACGAAAATTATTAAATCATAATCTTGTATTCATATCAGCGTTAAATTTTTTCTTTTCGTTTAATAATTCAAGCAATTCCCGTAATTCTTTAATCGAACTTTCCTCCCCTTCAATTTTTAATGATCTTCAATCACTTTAATTAACCTAGTAGCAGACGATCTCAATTTGGAACGTTTACATTTCAATCTATCTAACTTCTCTTCCATTTTATTTATTTTAAATACACCCACAACAGCAATAATAAATACTTACTAATTTACTACAAATATCACTAAATAATTAATTTAAGTTTCCCTACCTTTATTTGGAATTCCATTTCCCTTGAATATGAAATATCCATTGTTAAATTAAAATCGAAACACTTAGATCGAAACACCTAAAATCTTCACGAAAGCCTTAATTTACGCCGATGCACCATCTAATATTTTGTGCATTTTTCAAATCAGATAATGGTGGTTCAGTGAGTTCACTAATTTTAACACTTTTACATTTTTAACAATATTTTAATTACTATATACAGAGCGTATTCTTAGGCCGCCGCCTTCAACATGAACAAACTTTATTCTCCACTATGCGAGCAACAGCGCCCTCTAGCCTTTTCCTTCAAATTACACAACATAGGGTAAATAAAAACTCATTAATATCTATTAAAAAATAATGATTACATAGAAGAAGTGAGTATTTTTCTACTCCTATGAAGCAAATCAGATACTTTGTGCACAACTTCGAAAATTAGTTATGTGTTTCACGCAGACTACATCAAGTGATTGACAGTGGTGCTGCAAAATAACTACTTTTTGTATGACAAAAATACTTATAAGAATCAGCAAATGAAAAGAGGGCATTCAGTTCAGTCTAAAGCAATCCACCATGACGTCAGTTATGGGTGGAATATTGAGAGCATTGTTATTGCACTATGTCTGATGTACAGTAGGGTATGCTCAAAGAGTGTGTGGAGTAATTGGAATTCAGAATTTCATTTTCCCACTTGGTACTAGACTACGCAAAACTGAGAAGGGACCAGATATGCAGTGTGAGCTATGGGTTGGGTATCTGTGGCTTAGATGTATATTTTATATATATATATATATATTATTTATTTACTAAAAAATATTGATGAATTGATTGTATTATCTCCTAAGTTTAATTATAAGTAGATTATTTAAAAGAGTGAATCCATACTAGTAAGTTATATTGTTGAAAGATGTTTTGAAGTAACTTTGAAAGTAAAATGTTAAAAATGTTTTAACGGGATTGGAGTTAAATCATGAATAACAATTTCAATTTCAATTGTAAAGGATAATAAAAGGCAAAATTAAAAATGCATGTAATCATTGTCATTGATCGGAAATTAGTGGACTTTTCAAGGGGAACAAACCAACTCCCGTTCAATGAACAATAATTGATATAAATACGTAATACGAAGGTGTTTCATCTTTACTCGAGCATAGGCTAATTATATATATAAGATAGCATCTAATAAGAATCAAATATTATATATATATATACGATACATATTGATTCTTATTTGAAAAAAGACTGAACACTTAATTTGGTTATTGTTAATCGATACTAGATTGGTTTGTTTCCCTTGACAAGTCAATTAATCTGCGATCAATAACAATAGCTACTTTTTCAGTTCTTTGGATTTTGAATTTAATATTTAGAATTTTTACGGTCAAAGGATTTTTCTTTACAAATTTTAAATAATTTTTACTACAGTAGATCTAGATACCTTTGGATAGTGACTTGGAAAGCAACTTAAAAGTTTTTCCTAATAATTCATAGCATTAATTAAATTTATTTTCCTTAGAGATTATATATAATTACCTTTTCTAATAATAAATTATTGCTTTATTACTTAGCTGCTTTATCGCAACTTTAAGGCATTTTAAATTACTCATTATTTTATCTATCTATCTATATCTATACCTACACACTGGTTATCGTTAATTAGGAAAAATCACAAGAAATGATAATTACTTATAACGCTACATGTAGAATTTAATGAAACTGACCCACAGTATGCAACACATAGTAAGTTATAAAATAACATGAAAAGAAATTACCAGACAATAATGGTGTTATAGGAAATTGTATAAAATGAACAGATTGGATGTGTCAGTTTCGTATAGCAAAATTACCTTCAGTATGTAGTATAATCTGCCCTAGAAGCAATACAACACATACAGAGATGTGCGATACTGTCAATCATGCAGTTTATCAGTTCCATAAGAAGTGAGATCCATTGCTCTTCGAAAGCAGGTGTGACCATGGCAAGGGTCTGAAGAGGAGGATTGAGAGCAACTGTGCATCTTCCTAAAGCATCCCAAACATACTCAATAGGATTCAGGTCCCCCAGTGATCAAGTTGGTCACTCCATGTGCTGGATTGTTTGCTGCTGAAGATAATCATCCACGATGCGAGCGAACCCTGTGCAGTCTAGCGTTATTGTCCTGTATTAGGAAATCATCACCTATTGCCCCAGCATAAGAGCAGACATAAGCATCATGGATGTCATCTTTATAGGGATGTCATCCCTGAGCATTCATGGTTCCACGTGGAAAGACATGAAGGTCTGGGCATCCACCCAAAGAGATACCATCTCAAACACAGACACTGCTTCCTCCACATGCTTCTCGTTTATGGATGTTTGCTAGATGATAACAGGTTCCATATTCTCCCCAAATCAAATAATACGTACTATCGCTTTGGAGGCTAAACCTGGACTCATCTGCAAAGAAAACAACTCTCTTATTCAGCTATCCAGTGAATATGTTGACATGTCCACCTCAATCATTCCCTTCTATGATGTGACGAAAGCAGCATGTAAATGGCTGGTCACCTCGATTACAGACCTCCTTTGTGAAGCTCCTTCTACGCATGGTTGACACCAACATTTCCAGTGGCTGCAAGCAAGGGAGTGTCAGAATTGAGGTTCTAGTCTTTCATGCACATAACAACAAATATCGGTCATTGCACTCATTATAGCGGTTGTCCATCCTTAGCTGAACTTCCTGGATGTTGAATCTATGGCTAGAAATTGTTGCTAAAGTCTATGAACCCCAGAATGATTTACATTTAGCTATCTGGCCACTTCTGTCTGACTTTGTGCTGCCTCTAGTCTCTCTATCGCAGTCCTCTGAGCAAATAATGCCTGGAGGTCATTGTTATAAATTGGCTATCCCAGATTTTTTATCTCAGTATTACAGAGAAATTAGCAGGCTTGCTCTCAAACATGCAATTTTATGCTCCTCGCAGATGACGTATTTCGATTGCAGTGCTATTAATTTGCATATTTCAGTTTTATTCAACAATTCTTATTTGACAATATATTAAAGTTCTATGGGGCTTGGCTTATTTTTTAATGAGTAATGGCAGTTTCTGTGATTTTTTCTTAATTTTTGGAAATTAGTGTATGAATATCAAACAACTAATCATTACATGGCAAAAGTACAGTAAGGATCAGTGAATTAAAATATGCCATTCAAATCAGTTCTGAATTGAACGTCTGTGTTTGCTTCATTAGACTTATATATATATCATTCACTTCACGGTGATAAGTAAAATAAATTAAGGTTTTGTATCGTTTTTAGTTACTGCATTTTATTTTGTTATAAATAAATAAAATTATCCTATTACTATGTTTAATTTGATAATTAGTTTATTAAATTTGGTTGAGAATATTGTTTATTTGGTAATGGGAAAATTAGGGAAATTAAGAGCTAAATTTCAGTGAGAACTGTATTTTTAGTTTTTAATGTTGCATAATACAAGTTGCTTATTCTATATATTAGTCTGCTTGAAAATACAGATAAATTGTTAATACTTTATTATTATTCCTTTTGGGATGTGTATAAATGTGTGTGCATGTGTGGCCAGTATGTAATATGGATTAGCATTTTTCTATATATATATATATATTTTTTAATTGCCATCAGATTAGACATGATTTTCAGTTAACTGTTAAACATCATTTCTGTTATTATTCTAGTAAGCTGACTGCTTTTTTTTTTTTTTTTTTTTTCTTTTTCAAGGAAAGACAGTCAAGTGCATGCAGAACTCCAATTAAAAATTACAGAACTCGAAGCAGAAACAAGAAGAGAAGGTAAAATTTTTATTTAAGATGATATTGACCTTTTTATGGTTTTCAAAACTAGGCATTGTTTTTAATCAAATAATATTCTAATACTTTTACCCTCTCCTTAATTTATAGTGAAATCTTTGTCAGACAATATACAGATTCTGACTAGAGAGAGGAGAGTTATGTCAGAGCAAATTCATAGTCTTCATGAAGAAAAAAAGACACTTCAAACAGAGTATAATAATTTACTACAAAGAACGAAGTCTATGATATCACCTGAGGAGTACAAAAGAACTTCTGATGCTCATAAAAGGTATGTTCTCTTGATATTGTTGCGAAAATTGCTCTTTTCGGCCGAGCTCCTCATAATTTAGTGGAGAAGACTCAGAATTGGAAAAACAAAGGTCCTAGGTTCAAAATCCATCAACGGCAAGATGCCTGATAATTGGTTTTTAAGTAAATTTCCTTCTTGTTAATGTTATCTTGTTTATGTAAATTTACTTCTTACTCTTCCAGAACATTTCGAGTCTGGAATATTCACCAGCTATATATAAGTAGTTCTTTATTCAGTTTGAGTTAATAAAAAGTCTTGAGTTTAGACTTGAGTACGTGCCTATTCATTTGTACGATCCTGTCATCTACGCGACAATATGATAAAGCCCTGAAATTCCAGTTCTGCATTTATTTGCATATTATATGGAATCCGTGTAATAAAACATCTTCTGATTATCTATTCTGTCCTTCTTAAAAGTTGCCATCCATTGCCAATTAATTTTTCATCAGAATAAGATGCAAAATACTACAGACATTTTCATTTTAAAAAAAAAATGGTGCTAGCCTAAGAATTATATAAAACAGCAATAAATTAACAAAATGAAAAAGGAAAAAAAAAAAAACTTTTATTTTTGGCAAAATGTGGATATATGTCTTGTTGTTTTAGAAGTTTTATTCATTCCTCTTTGAGTTTGGCTAGTATTGAGAAGAATATTTTGTGTATCGTTTAGCAAAACACTTTTTATACTTCAAATGGCATGAAAAATATAAAGTTTTCAAATTAATTCTGACAACTACCTGGGTGTTCCTTTATAATGTGCCAAAAATTGGGACAGTTGGATCACAAATTTAGTTTATGCAAATTTTTTTTCCCGGTTTAAGTTAGGTTTGGCAGTGTAAATCGCCCATTCCAACAAGATAGTGTGCCATCCCAAGAGAGCAGTTCATTGACTGAGGCGCCTGTCCGAAACTAGGGTTACAATATTATTATTATGATTATTTAGTTTCTTATCTCGCAAAAGTAATGAAAATATGTTTTTAAAATGGTATGGATAACTATTAAAATTGCTGTTACAAATAATTGTTGCAATAGAGTAAAAAGTTGATTAAAATAAATCCAAAATATCTCTAGCTGCAACATGATAAAGGGAAATATTTTTAATATGACTTCATCTGCATCATAGTGCATTTTTTAAAATTAATTTTTTTGTCTTGCACTAAGAGAATTTTCTGTTGAAATTTTGTGCATAAATTTTTCATACATTTTGTACATGAATTTTTTAAACTCACTGTACACATATACACAAATATATGAAACTGCCTGTTAAAATATTCAAAAGAATTGTGTTATATATAACTATCAATTTATCAATATACTATCAGTTTTTAATGGAAATGACTTTAGAAAATTGACTTAAATGTAAAATTATTTTCTCAAAATGTAATTTAAGGGGAAGATGAAATTACTGTTAAAATAATTGATTGATTGATTGAAAAAATATAATAATGATATAAAAAATAATCTTGCATATATTTTAACATTATTTAAGTTTCTGAATTTTGTGATGCATTTAAAGGTTATTAAATGAAGAACAAAAGAAACATCAAGAAGAAATAAGCAAATTGAAACAACAATATGATGTAAGTATCTCTCTCAGCTTTTTTATATATCTAACTTTTTTCGAGCAAAAAGATGAGTAAAAATTTAGCTGTACCTGTAAATTGCCATTTCTTGAATTTTTGTACAAATTTTTGATGGATTTATAAGTAAATATATTAATTTATAGGGCCACCCTGATCAGTATAGTAGTTAGTGTTGCTAGCTGTTGCATAGTTAAACCTGAGCCTGAACCCCAGAAAATGCTTGGATATTTGTAAATGTGTTTCTGCGGATTGGGGCACTTGAAATACATGTTGAGTGATTTGGTGGTAAGGGAAGAGGGACACTTGAACTTGTCCTATGGGGGCGGTGTAATTCTTCAAAACTGGGATGCAATTTGGTAAAATTTTACTGTCATTTTTATGCTGCCCCAGGCCCATTCCAATGACAGTCACAATCATGTACTCCTTGCCACAATAAAATCTGTGCACTTGTTATGATGCTACAGTCAAACAAGTGAAATAAGTCATAATATTAATAGGTAGTAGTATTAAAAATTTTACAGGTTGTTCAAGACTAGTTCTTCTTGCTTGGAATACATTAAAAATGCCCAAAGAATTATACCTCACAACATATAATTTTTTATATAAAAAAGAAAAAAATATATCGTGTCCTGTCAAAAAAAAATCCATATCGTAGATGACATACTCTTAGCGGCAATGCATGACCTACAGTTTCAGCGTGATGCATTTCAGCACTCTTGTACATCTGGATGTGGAATACCCAGACTGCTAGATTGGACTAAGGATTCTACTTTTATGGCTGCCAAGATTATCAAATCTGACACCTTTTGATTCCTTCCTATGGGCCATCTGAAGGAATTGGTGTATCGAGACCTAGTTACTACAGAAAGTATCTTAGTTACTCGTCTTCATGCTGCATGCAACTTGATCTCCACCATGCTGATCCAGCATGTACAGTCTTGCCTTCATATTCACGGTGGACATTTTTAATAACTTCTTATGTAAAAACGTGCAAATTCTAATATTCATGTTTCCAATATTTTTTTTTCCTTGAGCCAGATATGACATCATACTTTCCTTTTACATTTATCTTGAAAACTATGAGATGTACATATACATTTCTTTGGGCATTTTTTATATATTCCAAGCAAGGAACCTACATGTGCAGAGTTTGGGCCGTCTTGATAAGATACCCTGTATATGGTTTCAGTTTCTGTTTGAATTGTATCATGCTATTTCAGTGGTTCTTAGTCAGTGGGGAATTTCATTGCCTTGGGAAGGTTATTATTTAACTTTAGATTCAAAGGGAAGGGAAAGCTTGTGGCAAAAAACAGATGAATCAAGAGACCCCAAATGCCTGAAAAGGTTGAATGTTAGCAAAATGTAATTATTAGAAATTTTCCGTTATTTATGTTTATTAAATAACAATCTCTACATTAATTAACATATAATAAATATTTATTAAATATAATAAGTCAAATTTATGTGTTTCTCTATAGCAGATATACCCACTTTTTTGCACCATTCTAGAATACTAGTGGGGCAGCAGGCATATTTATTTACAGATAATCAAGGTAAATTTATAGATTGATATAGTTAATAACAAACATAATATATAAATATATTCCAAAAATATAATTTTAAGGTATAAAAATTATTGATTGCATTCCTGTGTCAAACAAATAATTATTAAATATCGCAGAAAAAGTTTACAAATTCTTTGGTTTATATACGCTACATAAAGATGGTGCTGAAACTGATTTAATTCACTGTGCTACTAAATTTCAAATATAAACAAACGATGTAGGCTTAGCAGAACTTAAAGAACTTTTAAATTGTTGATAATTTTACAACTATTGCATGCAGATTAATGTTTTGAGGCTACTCATTTTTGAATTGTGCAAGATACATGCATATGTACATACAGATGTCATGAAAAAATCTCTTTGGGATTCATTTTAAATTGATTTAACAACCCACTTTGGGAAAAGGAATCCTGTATTCTGTCAGATGTAATGCCAAAACATCATTCAAATGGAATCAAGGGCGGTCAAAATGGATATTTTTGTTGAAATACAATACCCTAATTTTTTTGCAATTACAATACAATTTACTTCGTACAAGGAAGTAAAAGGGTTGCATGTGGTAAAAGAAAAGAAAAAAAAAAGTTTGCATGTGGTCTGGATTTTAGATTATTCCACATTTTGGATTTAGTAATGTATATATATATATGTATATATAGAAAATGCAGTTGAAGATGCTACCAAATAAATTAGAAGACTAGCAATAAATATAAGGGCGATAAATGTAATGCTGCTGTTTACAAACAATGGGATCAAGTACATCAGCGTATGGAAGCATTAAAATATTTTAATATGTATATATTTGACATATTTTAATTTTTAACAAATAATTTTTGCAAAATGATAAACATACAGTTGTAAACAAATATGCTTATATTTCTTTAACTATTAACCATAAAAAAATTTACATAACATTTTTTAAAAACTTAAATGATTTTTTTTTATTGTACGAGGGCTATCCAGAAAGTAGATTACGTTTTGGAATAAAAAAATAAACAAAGTATAGGAAACAAATTTTATTATATACAGATGAAAGCCACACTCAAATACTACTTTTCTACATAGTCACCATACAAATTAAGGCATTTATCGTAGCGATGTACGAGCTTGGAAATTCCTTCGTCGAAAAATTCGGCCGCCGTGCCTTCAACCACTTCGTTACCCCCTTCTTGCAGCTGTGCGTCGTCATCAAAACGCTGCAATAGCCAGCCACTTCTCACTTCATTGCTGGGAATAGGTGGAAGTCGCTCGGTGCCAGGTCGGGACTGTACGGCGGATGAGGAAACAACTCCCACTTAAACAAAAGATTCAAGAACTTTACGAGTGACATTTGCCGTGTGGGGCCGGGCGTTGTCGTGAATCAACAAGATCTTAGAGCTCAACATTCCTCTGCTCCCTTGTTTTGAATTGCTCTTCTGAGTTTTTGGAGAGTTTTGGCAATACCTTTGAGAGTTTAGTTGTAGTGCCTCTTTCCAGGAAGTCCACCAAAATTACAACCTTTTCTTTCCCAAAAAACAGTCGTCCAATCATCTTCCTTGCCGACACATTGTTTGCATGCATTTTTTGGGTTTTTTTGGGGAGAACTTGTGGTGCCCCCACTTGCATTGATTGCAATTTCGTTTTTCCACAGTTCACATGTTTCACCCCATGTTTCGTCACCAGTAACGATGCGATCGAGTAAAGAGTCACCATCCTTATGGTAAGCGTCCAAAAAAGTTCAACGCTGATGCTGCAGCATTCGCTGATTTTTGTGGTCCTCTGTCAAGATTTTTGGAATTCATCTTGCACAAAAACTTGTGGTAACCAAGCTTTTCGCTGATGATTTCGTGCAACAAAACTTCGCGAAATTTGTGGAAAAACTCAAAGAAAGTTCCGTTATTGTGAAATTTTTTTTCGATTTTTCACACGGACTTTAGCATCGACTTTTTCGAGAAGGTTCGGCGGTCACTATGCTGGGTCTCCCACTTCGATTCGATTCGTCGTGAACATTGGTTTGGCCATTTTGAAATCTTATGACCCACTGACGCACTCCAACCTTCAGTGATAATGTTGTCCCCATACACTTCACGAAGCTGCCGATAGATTTCTATCGGTTTACAGTTTTTTTGCAGTCAGAAACCTTATTTACTGAGCGCACCTCGCAGCTCGCGGGATTTTCAATTAACGCAGACATTTCAAACCGTCCACAGTATCTGAACGGAGCACAGCACGAACCTCTCACTAGCACGGCTAGATGCAGACTGAGCTGCGCAACGCTCTGACCCCAAGATGGCCGCGCTAGCCCCGCCCCTAGCGGACACAGACGGAAATGTAATCTACTTCCTGGATGGCCCTCGTAGTTACACAACTGATGCCTGCAGGCATAGGGCTGAGGATCCTTGCCCTGTAGCTTGCTAAAATAAAAAATCTGCAATTTGAAGTTTTATGTATTATTTGGAGTGTATTAAATTAAATTAAAATTTGGTAGTATTTAATTTTTGTCTGAATGCAAAAATAATGTAGAATTTTCCATTATCATGATACATATTGAAAGAGAATTCTGTGCATATTTTTGACCATAGTTTATGTGGGCAAAAACTTATTAAGAGTAAGTTTTGAGAAACACGAATGCAGCCTTTTGTCAATAGATGGCGCTGACTGTTGCACTGGATTTCTGACATCAGAATTACGGGTTGCTACCTTTGGCAGGATTCTTATGGAGGTCAAAATAGAATTTTTTTGCCAAAGATAGTTGAAGCTAATGACCCGGGTAACCATAGCAGCACCGCATTAGGATTTAAATAATAGGATGCCTTAAGCTATGAACACCATCTGGAATACTGAAGAATGAAAAAGGACTTCATGGTGGGTCTATAGGCTTTTCTCAAAGCTGAACGAAAATGCATTCAATGATTGTGTTGGAATGAATTAATACTTTCTATTTGTTTATTGCCATTTGTAGATTTAGTAAATTTCATTTGCAATATTTAAAAACTCTGATTCGCTATTCGATAGGATTATAAAGTCTAGGATAACAATTATTAATAATCAAAGATATCTTTCTTTTTTCCAATCCCTGTCTTGCATTAGTAATACTATTTTTATTTTTGTCTAATTTAGAAATTTTGATTTGCCTGTTCAGAATCGGACATTATAAAATTTTTACCACATTAAATGTAGTAGGAATGTAGCTCAATCATATTATAATCAATTTTTTTTTGTTTGATAGCTTAAGATGAGCACCTTTGAAAATGACCAGTCTTTCTGAAAATACACATAAAACATTACTTTGAATATCATTTCTTTTAAACAATTGTCTTCATAGAAAACCAAATTTTTTGGAAATGTTGAACATTGTCTTAGAAAGGTTATATTATATTCTGTAAATTTCTTCAATTTAAATGATAAATCAGAGATTGAAGGTGATATATAGTATATGTTGCCATCAGTGTATGA